ACGTAGAATTGCATTTCTGCGGCGAACGTCGCGCAATTACACGTCGAATCGACTTTCATTTTCCAGGGTGAGTCCTCGCCCCCCTCCCTTCACCTCGTCTTCCTTCCTTCCGGTGGCTGCCGGAGAAAGGAGGCGCCTGGAGACGCCGTGCGACAGACGGCTATGGATGGAGGGAGAAAGGCGTCTCTCCCTCTCTCTTGAGGCACGAATCCGATTTTTTTTCTCCCCCTTTTGGAGAGGACGACCAGTTATTCCAGAGACGGGTTTCTCCCTTCCAGACACGCGTGTCCGTTTTACTTGCAGATACCACTTTCTTCTCCGTTCGCGAGAGACTTCCGGCTACGGTCGCGTCCATTGTCTTCTCCGCGTTCCGCGGTTCATCGACATGTGTCAGATGAGACTGATAAATCGAACTGGAATGTTTTGTCATCCATTGCGTAGAGAAAACTAGCCGACCGGATATTCTTTACGGTTCAAATATTTTTACATGGTCGTAGAATTGATTTTGAAATCAACTGGCTTTCCCCGCCCTTTTGCGGTTACGTAGCGTTTAGATGTACAGGTATTAAGTAATAGGGAAGTCCCATATAACATTAAAAAGTGTTCAGTGGAGTTCAAAGTTTGGATTATTCAATGGTGCACCCGTAATATTGAATGGAGATGTTTTTAGATTGTAATTGACCGACAATGCGGATGTGTTTTGATAGATCGAATTAACTAAAGTGGAAGGTTGGCTGGGTCAATTGTGACCCGTGACGAAATTTTTTTTCCCTAGAATTTTCTTAGGAAAAATGATTCTACATTGAAATATAGGGTGGGTCAATTGCGACCCAGTCGAAATGTTTCCTCATTTCATTACAGAACTACCTTGTAAAGGATGATATAGGATTAGTCTAAGGTTTCGTCTAAATTTTCAAGATCGTTCTGGAAATAGCGATCGATAGATCATAGAAAAGATCGAAGGTAACGTCGATTTAAAAGTCACTGTGTGATTTCACAGTGGACGTTCGACGTGGACGAGGGAAAGCTAGCAAGAGGATCTTCATGACCACGAGACGTCGGGGTCAGAGTGCAAGATCATCGATTCGGGGGATCGATCGATCGATCCGGTTTTCTCTTTGTTCACCGCGGAAAAGTGGACTCGACCTCGAAACACTTCGACCGGACCTTCGAGCGAAATTTCGCAATTGTCTCGGGGACGATTTCTCGTTGCGAGAACGGAATTCTTTGTCTGTAACGAAGAATATTTCTAACATTTCTAGACTGCGCGGCCTACGTGACTATAAGGTCCGTGACGATTATGGGGACTAACGCAATCCATGTCGATTGTGAGAACTATGAAGAATGTAAAGAGATTGTGATAGGATTAGATGGTAGAAAAGACTATAACTACTGCGGAAACTATCAGAAGAGATTTTATGTTATTCCGACTACTATCAGGCCCTACCAGTCTCTGAATCTATCATGTCTCTCAAGTATTTCAGGTGACTGTAAAGACTATAAAAAGACTGTAGCCATTGTGGAGACTATGAAAAGTCTGAATTTAAGTTACCTGTACTGCTATCAGCCCCTCCAGACTCTCGTAAATTTGTTTTTTGCCCGAAGACCCAGGCAACAAAGTATGCGCTTGGCGGATTCCATGCCTCCCCCCAGTGATGGGGATAACGCCTGGACAATAATCGTGTAGAACAAGCCAAACTCTAATCGAAAGAAGTCTGTAATCTTGAACTCGATTACAGGAAATGTGTTCAATTATCGTTTAACTGTAATATACAGGGTGTCCCAATAGTTCCGTCCACCTAAAGAATATCTGTTACATTTTGAAAATAAAATTTGAAAAAAGTAAAACTAATGGTGATATACCAGTTGAACAGGCGAACAACCAGATTGATTTGCAAACTATTGCAATAAAAATCACTTCGGATTTCAGGGTAAAATTGACCCATAACGGTGTGTATAAGGATTAAACGAGTCGTGGAACGTTAATGGTCACGTCGTTACAGTAAAAGTGTAGATACTCTTCTGGTGGATCTTTTGATCGATCCGTTAAATCGAGAAACTGGCCGTGCTTCCGATCCACGATCGATCGTAGGACGATCGAGGGGACTGGAAGCGAGTCGAAGAGAGAGAAAGAAGCGAAAACGAGGCGAGTAGGAGGTTGTGTGTGCACACCTCTCGCGAGTTTACGAGGCGCACGCGGAGGAGAACGTGCCGGACAGTTACCTTTCTGTTCCGAGACCGTGAGGATCTACCTTCTCCCGTGGATCGCGATCGATACCCCATTTTGTCGATCGTGAATTACTTCGACCGAACGATCGATCTTTTTCGAAGATTACAACTGTCACAATAGTGTCGCACGCGCCACCGGAAGCAACGAGTTTTCATCGCGAGATGGTCCGTGGACGCTGGGAAAGAAAGGATTTTCCTCGATCGCGGTAAGATATCGCCAGACGTCCCCGTTTCGACGCGATTGTTTTCGTCGAGATCGATTTAACGGTTCGTCGAGATCTTACATAAACATCAGAGATCGCGGATTTAGTAATGGTTTTGTAATTGGAAATTCTTTTGTCATAATGATTAACACTACAAAATTTATCAAGCAAATTAGAGTTAACTGTGAAAGGTTAAGAGCCAATGTTTTGGCGCTAAAATTTGGAAAAATTCAAAAGTCGAGTTAATCACTTTGGCCTGTGAAGGGATCATTTATTGGTGCACCAGGTAGACTTCAACCCTAATTTTCTTCCATTAATGTTTTAATCGTATTATTAATCCTTTAGCACCCAGACCCTTAAATCGTTGTTTCAAAATTCTGAGATTGATACATATGTTGTATCTTGTTATTTTGACGTCGAGAATATCGATATTAAACCAAGCTATTTCAAACAGTTTTTTTTAAAATTTATTTTCAATAGATAATAATAAGAAGAAATATTGTAAATTCATAAAATATTTCCCGTTATAGCGGTTTACAAAAAAGAATCGTCTAGGAGCGTATCTTTCGGGATAACGAAACGGCGTTTCAATCGTCGACGATCGGGTTTAATTAAATTGCTTTTTTGTTATTTTATGGAAATCGGGGTCACAGCTATTTTTATTTTCTATTTCCACGGTCCGGTGAAACCGCCTCGTCGAAATAAAATGAGCGACAATTTCTCGCGTATCTTTTCCGATTGCCTCACGGCGATATCGTATATACAGGGTGTTCAAAAGAAAAGGCTCATTTTTTATGCATTTATTGAATATCTGATCACCTAAAATTTAGTATCGTAAAAAGTTTCGGAAATTTCAATCGCATTTTCTTTTTATTAAGAGCCTACGAGAACCCTTGACAGGGTAAGTAAATTCCTCTTTGCACCTAGTTTCAAGAAACTAATGTATAAACATTTATATTTCCATAAATATCCACTTATTGAGTGAAAAAATATCTAATCAATATACAGATCCTAAAAATAAATCCTTTCGATGTAAGATCAATTTCAATATTTACAAACCTGTTTGATGTCGCAAATGAGACATTTTGCGACATGTTGAATGTAAACCGAGGAATTTATTTCGAAGTACATTAGATCAAGGTTGTATAACAAGAGGATGGAATATCTGAGAACGTACGTCGATCTATCATTCCACAGAATGTGAGTTTTTTCTTTATTGGGAATGGAAAGTAGACATACAGATCATCTGTAACAAATGTGAAAATAAACTTCTGCATTTTTTATCAAAAAAATTGATTTTAGGACCAATGTTGTCCATACGTTTTTTTACTGTCCTCGATAAGTATTTTAAGGTCTTCTGAAGTTTTTAATGTATCAACTGAATATTTTTTTAAGTTTTGGACCTTTTGTTTTTGAACACCCTGTATACGTGCGTGCGTGCGCGCACACACCATGGGGCGATCGATGGAAAATTCAGATTATTATCGTGATATCGTTCCGCCGACGTGAATTAAAGTTTCGCAACCCCTGGTGGTAGACGCGTAACAATGCAGGGCGTTTACACACGAAACGCGATCGGCCAGTGGTCTCGACTTTCTGCGTTTCTACGTGCAAAACTTGGCAAAGAAATAGATGAAATTCTACTGTGTCTTTTTTTTTTCTTCGTTCACTAAAGATTCACGAACGAAATACAATTGGCGACTTCGTTTTTCATAGATAAATATATCTGTTAAAGGTGCATATCCACTTGAAGAATCGTCAGATGGTCACCAAAGTAATGGCCATCTTTCATTTCAGAATCTTTCCTAATATTTATTTATATTTTATTAAAAAATAATTAACAGAAGTCTACAGAATGAACTTTTTAGTGAAATTAGAGTTTACAGGAAAAGAACCATTAAAAAAAATATTGAGAAAAAGCTACTCACTTGAAATAATTCTTTTTTTTTTTTTTTTTTAATTTTTTATCGTTATTTGGTAACGATCGTGTTCCTCATCGATAAAATAATATAGAACAGCAATTTACACGGTACAGCCATTATTTTTGTATCGACCAAATTTAATTCCAACAAGAGGTTAATTAAGCTACATATCAATAATGAAATATGATTGGTAACAGAGAATGATCGGATTCTTCTGGCTCCACTTATCGGAGAATGAAACGAACAACGAGAATAATTACCGACGAGAATGCAATCAATAGTAAAATTGAGATAACAGAATTGGATAGGAATTAAATCTCCTTTAATTTTACACTTCATCTATTAAAAGAACCGAATTCAACGAAACAAGTTATATAAACCAATACGATTAAATTCACGAAAACCTATAAAAGCTTATTTCAATTATATCTACAATTCATTTAATCTGGCCGATTTTAATTATCAGTTACGTTAACCTCAAGTACGAAGACATGTTCAATTGTTAGACAGGAGATCGAATATTACAAATTTTACGTACTAGATCGCCTTTCCTTTCAGACTTTTTTACTTGCTGAATAAGAGATTAAATGTTATAAATTTTACGTAGATCATCGTCTTTCGTTTCAGACCGGTCGAGGGAAGGAATATGAGGTTGATCCTCGTATCGTTATTCGCCATTTTGGTGGCAGCCAGGGTTGACGCCATATCTACAGCATGGCGACCAACGCTGCATGCGCCACCATCCAGCATCCTCCATCAGGACGGAGGGATCTATGGGTCCGGACCCGCGCAATCTCTCTACGATTTCGATGGATCCTCCCTACTAGGACAGGAACAGGACAAATGCAGCCTCTATAAAGTCGCCATGAACCAGCAACTGTACTTCGAGGTATTTCTAACAATAAATTACCCATAAAATCCAATGCTAACTCCAAGTTTTTAGATCGTTAAATTACGCGATTTAATCATCAGGTGTACCAATACTATGTTTACAAGAAGATTGTAATCTGTTCGATCCATTGTTCAGTCGAAAAAAAATATATTAATAGAGCGTAACATAACTGTTCGAATACTTTCGAAACGAGTACAGAATTTACTAAAATAACGTGAATTATTCATTAGTACACACGATATTGAAATATTTAACAACCGATTTAATTACATACAGGTACCTAAGTTCTAGTAGAAGCTAATGTAACCGTTTTGGTACTCAAAATTTTATACATTCATCATACTTGTTCAACAGTATTAAAATGTCTCTATCCTTCACAGTGCAGGTGCCCCCCGTATAACACCGTTAGTTCAGGTGGTTAGTTTCGGTTGTAATGTTACCCTCTGCTGGGCTTTAGTTAAGGTGGTTGAATTCCTAAAAATCGCCGTGTAATGTAAACTTTTGTTACATAAAATTCTACAATCGTGTTGTAAAAATACCGTGTCATTCGAGGGTTTCTCCAATCCCCTAACCGTGTTATACGAGGGTTGCCCCTACATTTGGCAATTGCATTGCATATTTTCCAAACAGTACTCTAACCCACAATTTCTCATCGCCTGAATCAGTCTATTCCTTAAAAATTTCTGCAAAACCAACGACCATAATCAATACAGGTAATATCCACCAAGTCCCATCTCCCATAAAAGATAAATACGTACTTCCCTCCAGATTCACTTCAGAATGCCCGGATCGAAACAGGAAAAAGTGTTCATCCGAAAATGTCGTATCTTACGAAATCACTGGATCCATAATAAAACACCCCAACCATGACAAAACCCAGGCAAAAACGATCTTCACACCGTATCGGGCGGCTCGTGGTGATCGTTAGAGAATCGTGTCGAAAGAAGGCGAACACGAACAGGTGAGGCTAACGGGATCCTGACGTGTATACACGCTTTTCACGCGACTTCCTTTCCGTGCGGAAAACTTGGCTCGCGTGTCACGGCACCGGTTTTTCACGGTCGAGAGCGGCCAGCTCCGAATGACACGGATCGGTAGGAACGGGCAACGAAAGTAGGAGAGAAAACGACATATGATTCTTTCCCCTCGCTCTTCGATAGCTGGATCGCGACCGACTTCGATCATCCCGCGATCAAGGTTAAATATGGAAGAACCGTCCTACGGATGGCCATCGAATCGCGTCCACGATATAATCGCCGTGCACGCTTCGATACTCGAGCGGAATGCCACGTTCCAGTGCGCTTGGTGGTGAATCGATCGGATTTAGAGCTCGTTGTCGAGTTTGTTCGGAATCGGTTTCACCGATCGACGATACGTTACGCTTCGTTTAGGGATGTGTATGGGGAATATATCCAAACTTTCCATGTGGTATGCAGAGAGTGAATTTGGGGTTGTTCCGAGTCTCAAGTGGAGACTTGGCATAATAGGTACTGGTAAAGGGTACATGTAATATTTCGCGGGTGCTTATCGTATAGCAGTGAAGGTATTTACCATGAATATGGGAATAATATTTATGTTGAGTCTCCACTTGAGCAGTTCTTTAGAAAGATTGACAGTACCCTAGTTGTACCTAGTGTCAAGTGGAGACGCAACGTAATATTGATTGAGATTATTGTGGAGTAATTGTCATACCGTGTCTATCTGTAATGAGGGATATTGTGTAGGGTAGTTATTATGCTATTTATCCACTTGGGAGCTGTTATCGATGGAAGACGTCCGCGAAAGAGGCATTATCTAGAGTAGTCATTATGGTGCGTGTCCACTTGAGAGATATTATTGAGAGGAACTCTTAAGCTGTGTATCCGCATAAGAGGTAGCCATTATACTGCGTATCCACGTGAGAGGTAATACCGAAAGTAGTGATTATAGTACGTGTTCACTTGGAAGATGATTGTCGAAGTTAAAACTTGTGTGTTATGCTACGTATTTACTTGACAGTTGACCAACACAAGTTCTAAGCTAAGTTACGATAATCTCGACGTAAGTTAGAGCTTCCGCTGGTTACAGAAGCATTATTATGTATAGACTTGACCGTCCAACATTGCTTCGAGTCCAGTTAGACTCGTTACGCACCTCAGGCCACTTTTGTCCGGGGCACGTAAATACATGCCGCGTAAGTCAGCGCGTCGACCGGTTCTGTATTAGTTCCTCTCGATTGGAACGGCAAAAGTGACGGCTCGAGCGACCAATTAACAGGGGTAGGCATAACCAGTTTCGCGGAAATCGGGAAGAAGGTGAACGCTCTGTAGAAGGAAATCGGCGCCAACGGCTTTTTGCCGCGCCTTTTCAGGCGGTTACACACGCACCGTACGTGTACGGAATTGCAGACAGAAGCACGTAATCTGGATCAATCGTTGCGCATAGCGGTAATCGGTGTACTAATTATCGAAGCGCGGCATTGGATAATTACTGACTAGCACAGATCGACGATATTAAAAATTTTATGAATTTTTTTCCTCGGTGTCAGCTAGATTTTGTATAAATTTATCAGGTAATAGTGCAACTATTCCGTTCGAGATCTTGACAAAGTAAAACAATTCACGGTATGAAATACGGATGTTGAGTAATTATAAAAACACGAAATGTTTACCGACGCATCTGACAGCAGGTCTACGCAATGTTAGATGCGTTCTGCAAATAAACATGACAAAGAAATGAAAATAAGTGAGCATAGTTCACAACTTACACTGATCGCTATTTAATGATTAGATAGAAATTGTAGTAATTCCAGATACGAGAAACAGATTAGATGTACATCAATCTATTTGTACGTAACGGTTCAATAAAACGTTTCCTGGCGTACGTTCCCACAATTACCTTTCATTTCAACACACACGGTCAACCATCCGTGCAAACGAGGTATCCGAAAAATCACTGTTGAACTCTTGAATTATTGAATTACCGAACTATTGAATTATCCAGTTATCGAGTCCAAGTATCCAATTATCGAATTACTGAATTATCAAAATACAGAATTATTGACTTTAGAATTGTCAAATTATTGAATTATCGAACTATCGAATTACTGAATGACTGAATAATTCAATGATTGAATTATTAAATTTAGAATTACTGAATTCATTCTCCAACAGGTATTATTGAATCAATTCACACAACAGTATAGTTTCGATCTGTCGCAGTACATCCAATACAAAACGGACTTGCCGGACATCAAGGAGTTCACCCTGTGCATGTGGACGAAATTCTACAACCACACCAACGATCATCCGTTATTTTCGTACGCAGGTGAGACCGGTTTCAATTTCCCTTTCACTCTCGCTTCTCTTTCTCCGTTTGTCGCCGGAGGAGAGCAAAAGTTCGATCGAAAACAACAACGGTTCCCCCCTCGAGGTGTGTTGCAACGACGACGAGCCCTCCGGGAGCATTAAGTAACGTAATTTCATCGAAAACTTCTCCCGTGATCGCGTAACTGTTTCGACGATGGATATTTCCCCGAAGCTCTCGGAAAGTTTCACGGGTGTACTCCTGACGTAATCTTTGGAGTTCTGCCTCGAAATCGTCCCTCCCACCCACCCATCCCAATTAGCCCCATTTCGCGATGTTCAATCGTTGGAAAAGAAAGATACACGGTGTCGTCCCAGAATAAATCCCTAATATTGGTATACAGGGTGTTCCTTTAATAACGGATGGCAACTCAGTAGTAATCAATAAAAATCCTATTAATTCACCTTTGAACAAAGAATAAAGAAGAAATTATATAAAGAATGTATTGTCGAGTTAGTAATTATTGGGACACCCAGTATATGGAGAGATTCGAGGATATTGGAAAGCAAGAAGTGCATGTATCGTTTTGTCCTGTTTCGACGACGATTCGATAAACGTTCGATCCGTTGTCCACGAATTCGAATGACGATCTGTCGTTGACTGATTGATATTTGTGGTCCAGTGGGTGACCAACCGCGAGGCATACTCGCCTGGGTGGCGAACACCGCGAGGAGTTCCTACTTCATGATGAACGTGGACGGCCACAACCTGTTCAGATTGAATTATCCGCTGCGATTGAACAAGTGGTATCACTCCTGCCAGAGCTGGAACGGCCGGACCGGGGAATGGCAGATCTGGGTCAACGACGAACGCGTTGGCCGCGGATTCCACAACAGGGTGAGTCGATCTTACTTGATCTTTCAAGTCTTCGATAGACTATTACGCTTTTCGTATGGTACGAAGGTGTTTCGTATAGTACGAAACTGTTTCTACGTATACCGGGCTTAAGGTTTCACGTGGTCAGTTCAAACGTCCCCCTGTTGGCCGTGAAAGTAACGAGTGCCGTGTTACACAGGCTGGTTGAAAAAAGATTCCAATCAACTCCTGACAGGAAAAAAAAGGACTGAAAGTAGGAAAAACTTAGACGTCATCATCGAAGCGTGTATGGGGCTTAAGGTTTCCACGCGGTCGGTTAGAACGGACTCCCGGTGACCGTGAAAGTAACGAGCATTCTCCTGGTAGTCAGAAGGGGGTAAAAAAATAAAAAAGGCGGTTGGATCGCGGGTAAAAGGAACGGAAAGGACGACGATGCTCGGTTTTTGCTCGCCCCGTCGCGTTTCGAATTCTTCGTGGCTCGAAAACGTCCTCGGGAGTGACGTGAAAGAAGAAAAAAAAATATAGGATTCTTAAGAAACTGTTCCCCCGTTCGAGAAACGCCGATTCCATCGTGGATTTCCGCGTAGTGGTCGCTTTCACGGGATCGTTACGATTGCGGGACCACGCGCGCGTACGCTTCGACCGTACGAGTTGATATGTCGTTTTATCGTTTTGTGTCGCGTCGAGACTTCTCGAAAGTCGAAAGGTGCCTACCGTGACGACGAGTTGTAGTAGAAAGCGATCTTCAGAAGCGGTTTCCGGCGCATTTCTCTCCCCGACATTCGAACGATCTTACGTAACGAGCTTGTTCCCTCTTCCGACTGGTCCACCTGACGGGACCGAAGTACCAGAAACTACCCTACCACTTCATTTCCTGACTGTCGAGAAACTTTTCTGGCGATTCTTTGCGCACTGGATAACTTCAGGTCTGGGGTCTTTTAAGTGGGGTCTAGGTCTAGGTTGGATATTCAGTGAAAGCCAAGCTGAATGTTGAGTAAAGGTCATGATTCGTTTAAACCAGGTCTAGGCTATGATTGGACGCTGAGAAAGGTCTAGGTTGACTATTAAGTGAAATGGAACTTGAATGTTGAGTTAGATATAGGTAATGATTCTGTCGAGTGAAGTCTCTGTATAGACTATGGCGAATGAAATCTGACTGAATCGTTGTTGTTATTCGACAGTTGGTGGGTCACGTGATCAAAGGTGGTGGAATAGCAATCACTGGACAGGAGCAACGACAATTGGGCGGTGGTTTTCTGGAGGGCGCTGGTGCACCAGCAGGTAGGATCGATTTGGAACTGTCACTTGTGACTGGATTATTGTTACTTGACAGTAATTCTTCCCCCAGGTTCAGGTGGTTACCTAGGTGAAGTGACGATGGTTCAATTATACAATGTGGCTCTGACCGCCGGGAAGGCTCACAAGGATCACAAACACCATCACGCACATCACTATGAACACGACACGAGCAACAACACGCCTAGGCCTACTCGACCACCTGTGACTGGTCCACCCCTTCCGCAGAATCCTTACTTGACTGGGGGACAAATTAATATGCAGGTACGAAAAATGAACCACTAAGTATTCAGAATCTTTTCTATAACCGTGTGTCTAGTCTGCAAACGTGTCCTTACAGGAAGGGAATATTGTCTACAAGAGAAAATGCTTCCTAAATGATGCTGATTTCGAAAATTCCAGGTGAAGATCAATCCAGGCTCGCCGCTGCAGATCGTCCAGGGTGGTGTGACCCTGCGACATCCATCCGTGATCCCACGGAACCCACCGCCCCAACCGCTTCCACCTGTGAACCCTGATGCTGTTCCCTCAGCGTTCCCATTGCAATCATCCCAACTGTTTGGCACCTTGCAGCCCAGCCTGGCTTCAGCTAACGGGATAACCGCGGCTGGTATGAGCTTTGGGGACGGTCTCTACCGGAATCTCTTCAAACGGGAAGAGGAAGTGTCCTCTGTCGTAAGTGACAGCGAGGAATCGAAGGATTCAAGCTTAGAGATCTCCAAAGAGGTGACAAAGAAGAAGAGATACGCGGAGGAAGCCAGCGAAGGCGAACGTTCCGATGATAAGGTAGGGCTAACTTAGCTACTCTAAGACCGATCCCCTAAATTGCTAATGTTGCTTCGAGCCTTCTAGATGGCAATCGTGATCCTTCGATAAAAAGCAACCCAAAGTTCATTTGGTATTGTAACTAGAGTAGAAAGACACTTGGTCACCTTTTGATGACTGTTTGGGACACTTTTTCTGAAAAGACACGATCTGGACTCTGAATCCTAAGGGTACTCAGTAAACTTTACATGTTTAGGTGACCTTTGTGCCGGTGGAGCTCGACGAATCGAAAGACAAGAAACTCGAGAAACGGGACTCCGATAAGAAGAAGAGAGGACTGGTGCAATTAGGCGACGGACTGATCATCGACGACGGCTACATATCCCAAGGCCTGGACAACGATTACTACTCGGGACTGACCAACTTCGGCCTCCAGCTGCCAAAATACGAGGATAAGGACGACGAGAGGGAGCCCGCGGAGGGGGAAGTCAGGATGGTCATGGACATCTGCGACGGATGCAGCGAGGAACCGTTCAGAAAGGCGTTGATCTTGGCCTGGAGATCCGTTCCCAAGAAGCTATACTCCGGTGCCATTCATGTCCCAGCGATGCAATCTTGCAAAGCCTTCTGATCAGCGAATAGGGGATGCTCGTGACCTGGACCAGCGATTTTCTTAGCCACGAATGACTCAGAGTGTCGAGGAACCTCTAAATATCAATCTCAGAATATTAGTCAATCGTTAAGATTCTACTAGTTGGTTAATACTTGGCGCCCTTTGCCAATCTGTTGAAAAAAAAAAAAATCAGCTGGTCCAAGAGGTTACCTTCCCGTTGCGTGAGATTCATCCATTCGTTATCGAGCAGAGGAACTTGAGCTGTTAGCTACCGGGTCTTAAGCCGTGTCTCCACTCGACGAACGAACTGAAATCGACGCCTGTCCCTGTATTTGTTGACCCTATTTTCCAGGCGATCGTCTCCGTCCATTCGTCGAGTGAAGTCGCAGAGCTGAAGGGACCGTGCCGATTGTATTTATTGTAGTCTAAGCCCCTGATTCTTAATTGTATCGTTAAGTGACAGTATTATAAGTCCCGGAAACGTGTCCCACGAGGTGCGAAATAAAGTTTCTTTTAATACTCGTCGAGCGCCACTTACCTTGCTCTTGTGGATGTGCTGGTGTTGGTACTCGCTGTCGAACTCCGGCTCGCTGAAGTAGCTCTGGTCCTCCCAGTGAGGCAGCAGCCCACCGCCGCCAGGTATTCCCATCGGTCCAGGCATCCCCGTGACACCGTCGGTGCTCTCGAACAGTCTCAACACGCTGCGGTCCCGGATGTCTCGCAGATGAGATCTGAAATTGGAACGAATCAAGGGGATCATTCAAACATCTGGGATGTCCAATATATTTTCAAACGAAACTCTACAGACTTCCCCGGATTAGCAATCTGTTCAGTTCCCGTCTTTCCAGAAAGTTTGAAATTTTCGTGAAGGTCCAACAAGTTTAGTGGTCTTCTCGAAGTTCCAATAAACCGAGGAAAGTTATATTTTTCTCCGGCGACTCTAATCCGAGGAATCTAAAGTTTCTCCTATAGGAATCGAGTAAATTACAGAAATAGAATCTTTCCTGTCACATTGGTTTGTCATTCCCCGGATTAGAGACTGGTGACTGTAATCCGGGGAATTTAAAATTCCCCTGCGAAGGAATGTAACTTTAAAAAAGTGAATCTTTTCTGTCTGATGGGTTTTGCATTTCAAAGATTAAAGGTCGGAGACACTAATCCGGGGCAGTAGAGTAGGATATTTATGCGCGCAGTTACCTGAGGTCCTCGAGCTCGTAGAACATGTCCTTGTTGCTGTCGTGTATGTAAACCTTTACATGTGGACTGTCTAGGTATTCCATGGTGAGTTGCTTAGGAAAGCTCCTGACAAAGAGCGCCTTGACCGTGTCTATGCTTGTGATTTCGTTCGGGAGCAGGGCACGCTTCGTCTCGTTCCTATACTGCAGGAACACTAGACCTATGGAATCGTCCAGAGAAACGCATCGTTTCGTCAGGAATGTCCGACAAGGGGATCGAGCAGCGAGGCAGCAACACGACGATCCTAATTCTATCGCGGATGGTGAGTTACCTAATGGTCGCTCCAGAGTTTTGCTTGGGGTCCGTACAACGGGGAGGCTGCTTCTCTGTTTACCGCCCCGTCGGAATCCGGTGCTAGAGGTCTCCACCTCGGACATGATGCCCGGGTCGTCATCGAACAACATCGTCGAAGAGGGAGGCGGAAACCCGCGCGGAAGAGGCGACTGAAATACATAAAAAAAAAAAAAAAAACAAAAATTTTTATTCCTCCATTATCGTTTCAACCCCATCACCTAATGATGCCAGCTGCAAAATTTTTCACCTAGTAGCATTAGGAACTCTACTACGACAGGTATAAACTTTGCAGCTCTCATCTGTGCGTTAAGCCTGCGTCTACACTATGTAGCAAAACAGTGTTGTGTAACAAATTGTTCTACAACTTTGATATACAACATGTTTCTATAACTTGTTACAAGATCTTTGGACAAGTCCGTATGACATTTCGCATCTCATTATTAATAATGGCTTTACACTTGATGGATAATATATAACTTGATACATAACATAAAAAATGTTATATAACATTTTCTTTCTGATTTTCTAAGAAGCTTTCTAACATTGCTGTATAATGTATTATGCGTTATAGTGTAGACGCAGTTTTAGAGATCACAGTAATGCCTCTCTGTTAGTACATCGATCGTGGCAGAACCAAATGTCTATGTCCCTGTTTTACTTCTGACCACTGCTGGGTAATTTCACGTGAGTATTTCCTCCTCCACGGATTCGAATCGTTTAGATCCCATAATCTTTGCCAAATACCCATCACAGAGAATACCCAAGCGTATCTAGCCCCCATAGAATCAACAAAGTTGCTTCCCCGCTTCACCTAACCCCCTGAATGGTCCTTCTTCCGGTTCCATGACCAGAAAACGATAGACCCTAGATCAGGGACTAGCAGAGAGGCACTACTGTACACCGAAAAACAATGAAATCGACGATCACATTGAAACAGACGGTGTGTCATGCTCTGGGACACGAAAAACAAAGAGTATATATTAAGAAAAAGAAAAAAAAAGAAAAAAAGGAACCTTACCTTTCTCTGGCGAGACTTGGTCCCCATCTGTTAGGCGTCGCCGGATCACACGGAAACACACACAGGACAAGTGAAAAAACCAGTTAGATGAATACACTGTGTACAAAATGTGGTAATAACACGCAAGGAGCAGATTAAAAAAGGGGTTTGTGACATATCACGGAGCAGTAGTTTTAAGTGGCGAGAGAGAGAGAGAGAGAGAGAGAGAGAGAGAGAGAGAGAGAGAGAGAGAGTAGGGACGAATCGATCGATTCGGGCATCGTCTCTCCTGGGCTGGTCTCGTTATCTGCTCACGTCGGGCACAACTCTCAAGGCTCGACCGAGGTCCCTGCAAAGAATCGCGCGACTACACTGCCAACCCCAGTCCTCGACTCGAGACGATTCCGTCAGGTACGAGATAAATCGTTCCCTCTCGACATGGCGTCTTATCAGAGGACAGGCGTGGCCTAGAATTCTTGGTGAGTCGACCACGGGTATCGCGGATGGAGAGACACGAGCAGTAAGAAAAAAACATTTTGGGAGGACAGAGTAGCAGGTGGGGGGGGGGTGTGATTCGTATTAATATTGGATTCTTGTGTACGAAATGGAAGTTTTATAGATTATTATACAGGAACGTCAGAGTCTTCTGATGTGAGTGAATTTATTGGATCCTTGGGCGAGAAAATGCTTCCAGGTGTCGAAGGTTGACGCGACACCAACCCCGCCCACCGAGGTTCAAACACCCCGAAAAATTCACGACGGATAACGAGCTATCGCGTGATCACCGAAATAGTTCGAGCGTTCACAAATATTTGCCCATGTGCGCGCTGGGAATTCCACGCCGACTCGATCACTCTTATTTTTAGTGAAAAGAAAAATCGTGGTTCAACACGCGCGTGAAAATATTCAGAATATTTTCTACATTGCAAGAATCACTCTACAAATAAAAAGAAAATGTAGCAATCCGTTTCGACTGAAGCAAATTTTTGTTGTAAAAGTTTATCCGTGAAGGGATTTTGTAATAAAAATAATGACGATTGACATTTTCTAACACATTCACCGTCCTGTCGGTCACCGGTGACCGTCAACTATCAGGTAATAAAAATACGATGAAAATTGATTAGGTCCTGAAGAGGGTTTGAATATTATCGAGTAAAAAAGGGGAACCCAAGTTGGCGACGCGAGTGCTCGCGTGGGCAGGCGTGGGTGGAGACGCGGCTTAATTAACCTCTTCCCATCGTTACGGCCGGTTCTTGACCTCGGCACGCGTCCGTTCGAGGCCGGACGCTAAGATCACCGGCACGCGATCCGCTAATGTGTATTAACGACCCCAGCCCGGTAACTAGGAATCACGTGCCCCTCGGTGTGTGTGTCTCTCCACCGTATATCCGCGAGTAGAATCAAGGGGAGAGCCTCCTCCCAGTTTTTCCCGTCGGATTCCCACGGATCCCATCCGTGGGCAGCCCCTGTGGTCCCGCAAGGAACGAGAAGGGAGAACACAAAGGAGCATAGCGAGATAAAACGAGCTGGAAGGAAGGCGGCCGTCTCGATGATTCTGGGTCACGTTAAAATAGAATCTGCGGTTTACCCCGAGTGTAATCGAGTTACACCTGACCGAATGTAACCCGTGATCCGTTAGAAACTGCGTCTCCGAGTCTAGAACTAGCTCGACGTAGTATCCCGAGAAAATGAATTCTAAACGAGTTCGAAGAATTCCTTTTAACGAGTGGAGACACGGCTTAAGTTCGAAGGATTCCTTCGACCGAGTAGAGACGCAGCTTACTGTCCAAATTTTCGGTCTATCGATACGAACATGACAACTCGATGATCTACGGATTAATACTGTTAAAGATCTTTCAATTATCAATGTCCCCGGATTAATGATCGCGAGAGCAAAACCGGCTTACTACTCCCCGGTTAATTGATTGAACAGGGTGACAGTGTCCCAGGTGACACTACCTCCCGTGGCCCCTAAAAATCATCGAGACTCCGTAAAGAATTATCGTTAGAAAAAACCATTCTTTGTGGGTGGAGCAATCTGAAAAAGGGGGTGGGGGGTGTATAAGTCGACCGAAAAAAGAGCGAAGGGTGTGCTAGAGCGTCCAAAGAAACACGATAAGAGTCAATATGTATGTATTTACATGTTGCGGGAGCAAAGATTCACCTCGAGATCCATGGTGGTGTGTCGCGTGGGCGGCGTGCCGTACTGGCCGTGCGGCGGCGGCAGATGATGGGGATGAAGGGCGTGCAGCTGCTGGGCCGCGTTGAACTGCTGATGATGCAGAGAGGGCTGGTGATCACCGCCGAGGGTGTGCCTCCTCGGCTCGTCCCTCGACCGGCCCCCGCCGCCCCCGGACCCGCTTCTACCGCCCGAACAACCGCCGACGTTTCCACTTCCCCCGCCCCCGCCAACGCCCAACACGCTACCCCCGCCCCCTCCGCTGCCCGCGTTGCCCCCACCGCCGCCGCCGCCGCCTCTTCTACCGGTTGGAATTTCGTTCGAGCCTGCCTCAACCTCCCCCCTGCCGGACCCACCTGAAACAGATGAATTTCATATCGTTCAATCTCCTTGACAGACATTTCGCTGTGGGGGTTAAGCTGCGTATCCACAAGGAGCGTCGTTATCTCGTTAGCTCGGGGCTTAAGCTGCGTGTCCATACCATTGTAGTAGTAGAGTATGAATTTGTAGGCAGACATATTTGGGACTGGGTGTTATGTTGTGTATGTACGTGAGAAGTGACATTGTTAGGCTGAATTAGACTGTGTGCACACGTGGTTTTATGCCGGTGTACTATATTTGGGGTGGATGGAGGAAGTGTAAACCAGCGCTTTTCAACTCTTGTGGTCTCCCTACACTGACCAAAATGATCTAACACCCTTGGATCGAATTAGGCTGAGTATACACGTGGTGTTATGCTAGTGTCCTATATTTGGGGTGGATGAAGGAAGTGTAATCAGTTCTCGCATCAGAATCTTCCGTTCTGTATCCTACAAAGCATGGGGCATGTACGTAAAAACGGATGAATTATCGAGTAGTCGGGGGTTAGATGACTTAAACACTTCTTCCATGAGTAGACCTGATCCAACAGGTAAATTTTGCAGTATGAAGTGAGAATATTGATGGGCCAGTGTTTATGCTAAATATCTGTGGTATAGATAAGCATTGCGGATGATGAAGATGGGGATGAACAATTGCCACAATTGTTACAAAATGAATAGGTACATTTCGTCTTAGCTAATGCAGGCAGAATATACGTCCCAGCCAAATTCTAGGCTCACCCATATATCAAGCGAGTGGGCACGAGATTCGATGGTGCGCCTCGCTCGGATGGATTTCTGATAATTAAGAGCCGAAGCAGTCCAGTGCCTTCTCTCTGGTGCATCGACCTATTTGCCGGTAACTCGGCCGAGAATAACGGGTTCGTGGAAAACGCCGGAAATAGTTTCGAGAGCGGCACGTGTGCCAGGCGCCACCGATCTACACGAAAGGTTTCCACGTACCGGAAGCGAAGGATTCGTACCCTAAGGCGTGGCTTGTGACGACTGTAAACAAACCTATCAAACAAGAAATGCAGAGTCAGGACTGGTCGACGACGATTTGACCCACGTTTTCTGAGAAGCTCGCCAGGAAACCAAATTATGGGATACCCTAATAGTTTCCATCCCCTAAGGGTGACTTAAAATCTGCGCTTCCCCTTCGAATACTGGTCACTTTTGTAGCATCCCTTTAAAAATCTCAAACATACTGTAAAAAAAAACTCCTGACATTTTAATCTTCCAATAGCAAAAGAAAGTCTCACGCTAGTCGATTAGAAACGCTTTGGTTGCTTCAAATTCGCTAATGACCCTACAATCCAAGAAGGGGATTGCGATTGATTTTCGAGTTGTGGACACACGGGATATCTCTTTCGAAGATTAGAGTCCCAGGAATGAATCTTGACCCAGTGACCACACGTTCCTCGGACGGAATGCAACGGGCCAGTCGTTACGCGTAACGCACCACGTACGATTCGGGTGGCACGCGACTCTGGAGGCTGCGTAGCGGATCAAACAGAACGAGGAACGACGGTGGCAGCTCGTGAGAGACGAAAGTAGGTCGGTGCTCGCCCGTCGACGGTCCAATTAATGACGAGCCTCGAATTCCGGTACGCGAGGCTAACGCGCGCGTATTCGCCCGGCCCGATCTCCAGGCTTATTGTTGATCAGCGTCTCCTTTTGTTTCGTGCGCTTCGATCCCCGGGGATATCTCGAAAATCCCGTGACGTAAAACTATAACGCACGATGCATTTTTCACCGTTCAGTAGGTTTCATTGTATCGAAGAAAATATGGGAAAAATATTTGGCTTTTAGGCCGATGATTTGGGTTGGTAGCTAACTTGCTAATGTGGATCAAGTCTAATGATCCTCATGGTCCCTGACGGTATAAATCATCCAAGACAGTCATGAACGACGCCACAATCTAGCAATGATCGTCAATGGGAACTGTTCATCGACAGGTGAAATTGAAACGTCGCTTGCTGTATTGCCTGAAGGGACCAAGGGCTTGGTCCATTAGCAGAAGACAGCCGTATCGAAATTCGTTAAAAGCATCGAACAAGACTCGACCAACCGTCGATGGAAACTGAATTTCCCGACCGAGTGAAGCTTCGAGATTTAAACTGTGCCCGATGGGAAAATGGTTCTGACGTTTCCCCTAGCGCCATGTCTCGTCGGGCAACTGACGTTGATCTTATTTTGATTTTGGGGCGTTGGACTGATGGATCATTGGACCAGGACACCGGTGTGCCAGGAATCACTGCCAACTGTAGATTTTGCCGATTGGTCTACTCGACAGTTCGTTAGAGGAAGGAAAATAGAGAGAGTTTGCTCGGAATCAAATCCAGGGTAGCAAAAATGCTTGTAGGATTCATCTAGAAATCGCTTTAAACTGATCGTGGGATCACTGATATGCTACATTTTATATTGCAAGTCCTGTTTTCAAACGTCACTGCAGAATTTTGATGATTCGGGACGCAAACCTCACTGTTGCTAGATCACTGGTTGTCTGAACCATAGATAGGTCCAATGAACTATAATTCCTTCGATAGCCTCAGCTAAGTAGCATCCTCTATTCATGTCCTTGGAATATATTCCACGGTATCTACAGTACTTCTACATGTTCAGACAAAGTAGTCTCCGTGTCTTCAAACAGAATAATATATACCACAGTTATCTTCAGATACAGCTCCTCGAATCCTCTTAAGTCTCTTAGGGCTTAGGAGCAATCCTCAAGCTACAAACTGCTAACATACTGTTCCACTTGTATCCTCACTACTGGATACAATTCGACCATTTGCAATGTACTTTGAGCTACAAATTGCTGTATACTCTAAACATATTCAAGCGTCCTTTACGTTTTATAGTCTAGTTTTAGTCCAGGCCCTGTGTCTACTTTGCCCCATAAAGACAACTACGATGGGTCTAGAACCTCCAAGCCCTTCAAAGATCTGGTCACTACAATTTCCATTACTTTTTCACTGAGACCAATCTTGACAGTTGCATTTCCTAGGATTCTGCTCTGTTTCCATCAGGACTTAGCTACCAGAAGTGTCAAAAGACAGCAAAAGGGGATCGAGGATTGTACCTGATCGCCCAAAGCCTAGCAGACACTTCTTTTACCGACGACGATCAGGGTGTCCACGCTGAAAAGAATCGAATTTTATCGAACCACACACACACGACACTTCCCTCGGATAAAATCCTCTCGAGGCGTCCCGCGCGACGACACGACCGACACTGCTGTGGAGACCGCGAGATCTCGAACGCGTTTATTTTCAGAATAGCGGCGAGCGAGGGGACCGACCGACACGGCTCTGCCTTCTGGCTGGCTGGTCCGTCGAGAAATCTAATCTAACGTTCGGATATCCGATAATTCCTCGGCTGATAAGATTCCGAACGAGTCTCGCGGGGGGGGATCGATTCCGATGCTAGAAACGATCCGTTTTTCGATCCTTCGTGAATCTTTCACTACGACCGATTCGGATCCAAGCTAATGGCATCTTTGTCCATTCTGGATCTTGTGTTCGTTTAGTTTTACGATTATAGTTTCGGAGTAACTATCATATTACACTTCAATCCATTTATTCCAGCTGAACATGTCTGAATGGATCACCTTGTTTCTATAATCCTCAATTCGGATTAATAAAGATTTCGATTTACTTTTGACTGAAGAAGATCTTTAGCACTAGAATGTCTATGGCTGGGTCCGTTGTGACCTATAGGTCAATATGGTTATCGAAAATTGTCTGAGTCACAACTGACCCGGGCGTAGGATTTCATTATGCAGATTGAGTTTCAGGTTTTATTATTTTTTAAGTTTCCTGCGAAAGTTCAACGGATCATTTTCGTGGCTTAACACTATCCACACGAAAATCGTGGCCCGGTTAATTCCTGGGGGTCCACCAACGAGCGTGACAAACGACGTGAACAAGCGAAATTTGAGGAAGAAAATGGGAGCGTGGGAAGAGGAACTTCGCGTACTAAATGAGACCATTTACATCAAGGTTGGGCTCGAAATGGCGCCTACTCGCGACGCATCTTTCTCTCTTCCTCTCTTTATTGCTCAATTCGACCCTTTTGGACCTGGCATAGGTAATAATACAGTCTCAACGGTATTCCCAGAGATAATCTACGGAGGAATTCGTATCGATCGATTAGAATCGGTGACGCGGGTTGCATAGGTCTGGTTTAGGCCGATCGAAATCAATTACTGAGGACGGATGTTCGTGGCCAATTCGGTTTCTTGACCTCGACGGGATCGACTACTCGCAACAGACGGATTGAATATCGTACGGGGAGAGTTTTTTCGGGCAGAATGGTTCCTTTCATCGATCTATAATTAATTTCTGGGGAAGTAAACGAGATAGACATTTCTGAGCATGAGACTACACATTGGAACAGGAAGGGAATTATTAAAAAATGGGTAATAATGGGTAAGAAAGGGTCAAAGTGAGTAAAAAAAAATTCTAGTCACCCCAACAATCTATCAAGTTACTTCAGTTTAAAGAATAATTAATATTCTTAGTGATAAGCAATGAAATCGATTATTAATTCTCGAATGGTAAGATGGGTTTTAAGGTCATACTTAGTAAGGTGGGGTCGAATCCGACCCAAGCTCTCTTTTCCTATTTTCAGACGGGTAACAAAAAGTTATTATCTTGAACTTGTATTTCTGTTCATTTATATAATAAGGAATAATAATTGAGTTATATAACATATAATAATATAAGTATTAAACGTTTACTAAATAACAAAAAAATATTTTAAGACGAGAATAATACAAAATAGTGCATGGACAGCACAAGAGGAACTATAGCTTGGGTCAGATAAAAATTAAAACCTAAACGGTGGCCTGTTTTAAGCAGAACACCCAGTATAGTGTAGATGCAGCTTTACAGTCTAGGTGCCAAACTCGCCGAGTCACGCGCCGTCTGAGGCCGTGTTTCAACTGGTAATGAATAATTCCAAGCTGATCGATACTAATTGATAAGTATCATGGTCCATCACTGCTAAACACGTATCTCGAATCGCAGCGTTGCATCGGTGCATTCACAGTTATGCACTCCCTCAATACCCCGACCCCTCAGTCGAATAACGTACGCCTGCGTGTGCGTGCGACGCCAAGTCGAGCGCGTGCTGCGTGGAAAAAATCTATATCGCAGCCTTCCGGGGCACGTGCACGTGCGTGCGCTTCTACGTTATTATTTAGCGACGCTCACTCGTCCACGTGCCACGGGGCGTCAATGCTGGGCTGGTTCCGAGCTTCACGCGACAGAATCACGATATTCGCGATCGGTGGACAAGGTTAGGTTATGTTTTGCTTTACTACAAACTGTCCCTCTTTACGTTGGGTTTCGATTGGACCGTGGAAACCGATGGCTGAGTCAATCGTGACTAGGCTGGATGACAATAATAATTGGAGGGCAGGGGCAAAATGGATGAGATATTTTATTTTTGTAAGGTCCTACTTTGTAAGATGGCGTCTTACCAAGGTTATTATCTTAAACTTGTATTTACGGTTATTTATACAATAAGGAATAACAATTGAGTTATGTAACCATATAATTATTGAACGTTTACTAGATAATGAAAAATATTTTAAAACGAGAATAATAAAAAATAGAATCGGGACAGTGCAAGAGGAACTATAATTCGGGTGGGAACGACCCAGACCTTATCAGTGGGTTAATGTTATTTTGAGTAAAATTAAAATCTATAAAAAATGGTTAATTACATGACGGTCCAACTAAAGGAACGTCATCTTTCCTATTTTTGGATAGAAATATGAATTCTACAGTAAAAAAAAAATACATCCATATACATTCGAATATCATGACAGACAAAAAGTGGACCCTCATCCTTTTTCCCCTGCACTCGTCACTTTTTCTTTACTGTACTTATGCCTCTCGAAGAACAAAAGAAAGGGGGTACCGAAAGCGTGAGATGCCAGAGACGAATGGACGACGATAAGCTATTAATAAACTCGACTATACACCAGTACGATACGAGTAAATGTGAAACGAAAAGAAACCGATGGGTATAAAGGGTGAGGTTTTATAGCGAAATGATTGTTGTGCTGTTCGAAAATCTGACCCTGCTTGGATATACTTCAATGAATTTCACATAAATACATTATGCTTTCTTTAGATCTCACAGACGTGTACACACGGGACGATATTCGTTTCGTAGTGTTTACCGACGGGTCGCCCGTGACCCGGTAATAGGAACTCACGGGCTAATACTCTTCTACGAATAAGTATATCATAAATTCTATGATCCTCCAACGTACACAATAGTCTAATAGTGTACACCCTCCAAACGTCCATTTTCCTTGTCCAAATGCCGCCAAATTTGGAACCCCTGCTAGTACAGTAGGACCTCCATTTTTCGGGTATATGATCTAGTCTAGAAGACCCACAGAAACAGACGAAACAATATAAACTTCGTCTACTTGTTCTGCTCTCCAATAATCTGTATTTGGGATTTTTCGATAAACGACATTCAACTGTACACAAATAACCATTGGAGTAGAATCAAGACTGTCATTCACGACACTAAATCAAGCAAGAAGAACCACGGTCCTACGGTCCATAGCAGCCAATGCCAACCATGAAAGTACACAGACCACATCAAAGTGAGAATTGTCCTAGGTTCACCAAAGACGATACTAGACTTCTGATGTAACCCCTAACTTTAACTTAGACTTCTCATTAAAAATTCTGAAATTTCGACAGAAGATAATTTTCTGTCTTCCAATCAATATAAAAGGTAAATCCCTACCTTCCGATCAATATAAAAGCCGAATCACTACCATCATGGACGCCAAGTCCAACAACCTGTTCGCTGCCACGATCCAGCAAAACCTCGGGAACAACGTACTCACGGGCTCGCTACTCACCGAGTGAAGTCCCAACAGCGTGGTCGGTCTCCCACTACTTACATTCCGGCGAAGGATCGTGGAGCCTGTTCCGCGAGGCTTGGCTCTCCACACGCACACACGACGAAAGGGTCCTCTATCTCTGGAGCTCCAGAGAATTATTGTACCCAACCGTCGTGACCGTACCGCGTGCACTAATATTCGATCGACAGGCGACACAAGGGGGTAGCCAAAGGGAAGGAGGCAGCCAGCAGCATCCACACACTACCACGACGACGACGCCGGCACCGGCGACGCCGGTTTTATAATCAATATTAGTTGCCGTAGGATCCGCCACGCGTCGCCGTTCGACGGACGCGCTAGGACCCGGCATGGTTACCCGTCAACAAGCTTAATCAACTAAACGAAACAATAAAATCAAATCACACACAGACACACTTTCGCAAAAAAGAAAATATAAAACAAAAACGAAACACTTGGCAGCAAAAAAGATCGGAGAAACGCACCTCCAGAATACTCGGCGTCGACATGCATCCCGACGTCGTTCCCCCTCGGGATGCTTCCCAGTCATCTTTAGAGGTCTATCGGGATCATTATTCAGCGTCACAAGTGGATATACCGTCGATCACACACGTGGAAATTTTGGGATTTTAGGGAGAGTTTGTGGTAGGACAGTGGTGAACTAGGGGCGTAGCTTACTGGTTCGTTGGAGACGGATCACGACGATGGATCACCTACGAAGGCCATGGGATCCGAGGCCTATGACCAATCACGAACCGAAATGAACGCGATTTTTTTTTTAATTTTTTTTTTTCGGTGCACCGAGGAGAACTACGAGGCAGGGTGTGGCGTGAGAGGGAGACCGTTTTGAAAGATTTGCACGCGACACGGTTCGACCGGCGTCCGCCGTACGCGAGGTGGGGCGCCCCTGTACCCCGAGGACGGGTCGCGCCATCTTGTCGACGTCGAGCGGGACGCTTGCCGGGCGAGATATCGCAAGCGCGCCCCGACGGTATCCGTTGAAAACGCGAAACCGACGGAGGGAAAACGGGGATTTATCCGCCGAGTGGATAAACCGCCGCTAATGGTTCTCTACTCCAGACGATAGATAGCGAGATTTAACCCCCTTCTTGGGGTTGATCCTGATTGGGATATACAATAATACAAATCAGAACGTTTTACTTTGACAATGGCGTAAGTCCATTTTATTTGGGATTAATTCGTGTTTATCTGTAACCGCTGCAATCGTATATCGATTTTCTTGAAATTGGACTTACACGATGTTCAAAATAGAGAGTGTTAATCTGGTCTTGCTGGAACCAAAAAAATCGTGGACAGGTTCCTGGGAACAGTGGCCGATCCAGAGGAGAACGATAGGGTCGAATCCCCTCTAGAGTAATAAAATAAAACATAATGTGTCATTCAATAATGTATCTTCAGGAGGAAAGAAATTGTATTGCACTCCTCTGACTGATAACCTGGCTACTCCCATGGTGTGCTAATAAGTAATCCATCAACATTTTATATGCATAAAATTGTAGTACGATAGAATTGGTCTATAAAGATGGAAGAAGACGAGTGTTGGCAGATTGGCATCTGTTTTATAATAGTTGTTACAATTGTCCCGAATTTTTGTGAGAAATTGCTTTGGGTCTCGATTGACCTGGCCACCGGCACAACTCAAAATCATGTATTTCACACGTGTATATGTGAAATATTGTCGTGGGTCTCGACTGACCCGGCCGTTGTATGTATGTACTCGTCTGTGATACTGTTACGGGTCACTATTGACCCGGCCATCGACGTCTACGGGTCTATATTTCGCGGTTCAGAGACAATTGCGCAACACGCTCAGCGTATCGGTCAAAACCGAACTTCCGGTCGACGGACGAATTCGAGGTACCCGCAATTCTGCACGCTTCAGAAATCCACTTTTCGGAATTAAGGCCGTTCGATTCGATTATTGGATCACGCGCACGCATAATGGAAATGCGATCGCGCGGCGGCGAGACTAACTGAAATGTTTCAAATCGTCAACCGGCTGTTTGGGGCTTCGACAGCTCGAAACACCATCGGACGGACCGAGAAACGTCTGGTTGCGTTCACTGTTCCACGGAGTTGGGCACGAATTTCACTCGAATAATACTGCATTGTCGAAAGCGACAATATCTGAGACTAAATAACTGTTGCTAAACAATAAACTATTGCATTAGTACATACTTTGAATTAAATTGGTCCTGAATAAAGAATCGTATAAAGGAAATATATCTGTCTCCATTAGTAGATTATAATATAAGTTGCAAATTAATTTGCAAATTTCTGTAATAAACAATATAATTAAATCAAATTGACCTGAACCGTGCACGAGGGTTAAACAGTTAATCATATCAAAATAATTGCCTGCCAAGTGTCTACTCACTCAAGAAGCATTATTTCATTATACAAATTGGAATATCCACGTTCGATCAATTAAAAATGCCCCTCTCTGCTGTTTGCCCAATGGTTGCGGGAAGAACGTCTTTTATCAGTACCACCACAAACATCTCACGAAAATATCACCATCGGTTCGATTTAAGTACAGTAAGACCTCGATCACGCGAATTGTTCTAATCGAGTTTCTACTGTACAGAAATTACCCTGTTGTTTAGGTCACCCACTGGCGAATCAGATCGGGAGAAACCAAAAAACGGGATGAAAACAAATTTCTATAAATCCCAGACTGATAAAGGGGCGGGTACGCGGCCCAGGTGGGTGTCGAATCGAAAGGTCAAAGGGTGAAGGGAGGGACGAGGGGGTGGGTTTTCGTATCGCTTTCAGGCGTCGAAGGCCGACCGGAAGGGATTGGGACAACAGTGAAATTCGAAACCGGAGGAAACCTGACAGTCGCCACGCCGATTCCAGGGGTTAAGTTAAGCTTGTAACGCGTCTGCTTGAGCGGCGATAGGAAGAGAAAAAAAAGGGGGGGAGGGTAGAGCGAGATATCCGTGCGCGATCGAGCGATGTGGAATCGATCGATCGCGCCCCCTCAAGGAACGATCGAGAAAGAGAGAGAGAAGGGTTCGCGAATGGAATCTCGTGGGACTCACCGGTGTCGTTGGACTGTCGACCCTTGCCATCCGGATTCCACTCCTCCTCTGCAACAAGAAAAAGGGGAAACGGGTCCATTAGCGGGGTGAGAATCGTGGAATCGTCGAAGCTAAATATCGATCCTTAATCTTCGATCGAGCTAGAGTTTACGAGAATACAGAACAAGTGGATGGAATGGATGGTCTGGCAAATGATTCGCAGAGATATACCGATTACTTGGCTCGAGTTAGGCTACGTGTCCACGTTAGAGCCTTTATCGAGGGTGGTCGTTAAGCTACGTGTTCACAAAAGAGTCGGTATCGAGGGTATTTCTTACGATACGTGAATAGGCGACGGTGGTCCTTATGCTATGTGTCCACTTGAGAGTTCACTATCGGAAGTAGGCATTATGCAACGTGTTCACTTGAGAGTTACTGTCGAAAATACTTTTTATTCGATGTAGGAGAACTAATCTAGAGACTACCTCTCGTTCTACGTGAGAGTTATTGTCGAAAACAGGTATTACACTACATGTCCACTTGAGAGTTACTATCGAAAGTAGATAATATGCTAGGTGTCCACTTGCGAAAAAGTACCAAGAATACCTTCTATGCTAAGTGTCCACGTGAGAGTCTCTATTGACATTACCATATTAGCAATGTGTTTACACAAGAATTTATCTCTCTTTCGTCAATTGCTCTACCAATTTTTATTGGGTACGTATCAAACCTGAATGATATACGGGATTCCACCCGCGTTCGTTTACATTTACCTATACGCCTTATAACCGCATTTTTATAAAACCTTCCTCCGTACCGCCCTACAACAGAAAACATTCTCAATAACCGACATGATCGTTGTCCCATTTGAAAAAAGCCTCGATGACCTTGACGAACCTTGAAGATCCATTTCCTCTTTTCTATATTATTCCCTTAATTGTTCTACCTACTCTGTCGCATAAGCTTGTACACGTATATCCACTAAATAAATAAACTGCACACGTTGCCCACGTCAGCACGTTTGCCGGTCCGGAAGAACCACCATCCAGGAACGAAGACATCATCGCGAAGTCTCGAGCCAGAGGAAACAGGCCGCGCAAGCATTCTGCATATTTCAGGAACGCGAACGGTCCCCCGCGTAAATTTCCGATAAACAATGTACCTGTCTACTTCCGCATTCTCAGCCACGCGGGAGGTATGAATATAAATTCCCGATCCGTCGACCCATTTCGTGCGCCCGCAACACCAAAACTCCTCGACCCACCTCCCTTTTCTGATCTTCGATCGGTACCCATGGCTGCAACTAACGATTTAATAACAAGAAAAAAAGGCTTCGACCCTCCGGGGAATCTCCATGACAAACGTGACTCGCGCGAAGATACCCCCCCCCCCCGCCCCGAGAGAGCCCGTTCGTCGTATCTGCAAGTCAAAAGGTTCGTGTATTTGCGACCCACGGGAGGAGCAACACAGATCAGGCCCAGGGGCTACAGGCTTTAGCTACCGACCTCTCCTTTCCCGACAATCTCGGCTTGGCCCTCGTAACCCCCTGTTCACGATACACCGTGGACCCTTCACTATCAACCCCTTTCCGATACAGACACGGAAGCCGGTTTCACAGAGGTCTGCGTTCTTCGATCGACGATCACTCGACAACCCCAGACTCTAGTCCCATTGTCCCTGGTCTGGACGGATGGAACGATTCCGTAATTTTTTCGGACAGTTTCAAATTGTTCGGGTTTACGGTGAAGCAAAGAAAATATTCGAAAACACAAAGGACACTTCAAGGTCATCAAGCTTGTTCAACACATTCATCATCGTGATGGTCACCGGTGACTGTCATCGAAATTTCCGTTCACGTCGCTTCAAACATTATGTGATCGCAACAGAACTACACTCACGCAACGTCCCTCACTGGTGACTGACACAAAAGCTTCTGTTCATATCGCGTCGGTCACCGGTGACCAGGTGAATCAAATTTTCAAATAATATAATCGACGTGAACGGAAAATCCGGCGAAATCAGCTCCACACTAAACGTGTTAAATGGGATCTACACATCCTTCGATCAGATCCAAACAGTTCCCGAAAATAGAAATACTGTCATCGAAGTGTTCAGAATAGATCGAACAGTTCAATCAGCACAACTGCGAAATGACCCACGAACGGAGACCGATATGATGGGTGGAAATGATTCCAGGGAAACAAATTTCGAAGAGATCGTTATGATGATCCAGGACGTCCACTAGAATCGTGTTATCACGGTTACCTGATACGTCGGAATCGGATCCTGGCGTGGGGCTACCGTCCACACTGTGCCTGGATCCTTGGCAACACTCGCTGCACTTGCTGCACATCGTGTCCGACGATTCACGGTATCCACTGAGACCGGCCGAGATCAGGCACCAGTAGGCCGCTTCGTACTCGATCGACGAGGATCTTTGATCACGGTGCTGCTGCACTGTGCCCGCCACGACGCCCCGCCGCTCGATACGATCGATCATCGACGGGCACGACGAGCGTTGTCGTCACACACACACATACACAGAATTACACTGGGTCTATCGTCTATACCGGGACACGGGGGCCACGCGTCACGTTCAACGTACCCCCACGACCACCGGCCTCGGTGGTCGGTCGCGAACTGACAACAGCAGAGAAAATGATCGTTTGAACGAACCACCTCGGTCCCTCTCGCGGTATTTTCGGGCGGAACAGTGGTGGGGGGTGAGACGCAACGATCCAGGTGGATCCGAACGCTTTTGTAAATACATACTAATTTCAAATGTCTGTTTTACAAAACAAACTGACCGATGGGCTGGTCAATTTTGACCCGAACCTATTTTAATTAGTACACAAGTTGTATTGTTGTAGAGACTTGTGCTGTTCTATAAAAGTCATTATTGGTGGGTGGGTCAATTTGGACCCATACCCTATTTTTGATAGTGTTCGAATTGTATTGTTGTGCAGACATGTAATAAGTTGTATTGAACCAAATATTAGTGGGTGGGTTAATTTTGACATATCCTTATAAAACAAACTATTTCTGCGGGGTCAATATGGATCTTTGTGTTTTTTTTTTGTTAGAACACGAGTTACATCGCAGTGACGACACGCAATAAGAAATAAAATCGTGTTTAAACTGTATACTGTTTATAAATACACGCTGTATGCTTCCGAGTGAATCAGATATTTTTATATCGTTAGTACGTGTACCTACCCTACTTTCCAATCTTTACTGAAATAACACACCGGCAAAGAGCGTCACTGAGAAAATGTATTTCAGCGTATGAGGTATAGCAATAAGTGCTTCACTATATTTGATCATATCCAATAATTTATTTTAGGGAAAATCAGAAAAAAAAAAATTTAAACCGCGTTACCAATTTATTAAAAGGAACCAATAGATTATTTATTGGTACAGCTAATATTCGGACGAAAGTTTGTCCCTTGACGTCTACATAATCGAACCTCACTCTTGGGTCATAAAGGACCCGGCCCCGGTTCTTCCGTACCTTTGCCTCTTCAACGTTCAAAAAGGACATCTTGACGACTTCCTGAACGTGTCCAGAATAAACTCCACATGCGGTACATACACAAAGAGTTCGACGGGTAGGGCTTATATGGTGGTAACATCGAACAACAGTTATACACGTCCGACAGGACTCTAAGCCCGACGGTGCGGGAAATTAATTGCCCTCCCCACCTTCTGCATTTAATCCCAGCTCGAGGAACAATTCGGAAAAGCAAAGGGATCGCGAGAGGGGGGCGCTCCTGTGTCGAGACAAAGCTCGGAGATTCGTTTCGAAATCCCAGGGAAAACACATTTTCCGGCTGACCGTGGGCCATTAAAAGCGAGTCGTTTCCCGATGCAATCGGGTCGAGGAGCAGATAATTAATATGAAATAGAGGGGTTTGGCCCGGTTGAATTCCGTGGTCGGAACTGGTCCTGGGTGCAGAAGGGGGGGAGACACGAGGAATATATGTGGGGTATATGCGGCGACAGAGGCTGGAATCGAGAGCAGAAGGTTGTTACGGGCCTTGTAATACGATCTGTCGCGGTCGACGTGGAATTAACCCTTTCATCCCCCCCCCCCCCCACTCCCTCCCACCCTTTTTATGGACGAAGCGAACCGAACTGTGTTTCACTCCTTTGAGCTGGTGTCTCCACCAGCTGGTCCATTAGATACCGGTACATGTAGTTTCAACTGTGTTTTAGGGATTTGTATGTTAGCTTCGAGGTGTTTTGGGTGGAGTCGAAAGAGGATGGCCTGTTTCGATTTTTCATAAGGTTTTGGAATGCTTGCGGTCTTGCATGTTCCTGGAAGATGTGAGTACAGAGTGGGGAAGGCAAAGGGTGACTTCTGGTAAGAGGATTGTGTTGAAAAGCAAGGCACTTGGCCCAGAATCTCGGAAGAATACAGGTCTCAGTAAAAATCACGTACTCCAGATAATATTTCTAGTTGACAAACTTCCCCTGGTTGGGCCAACTGGATAGTTAGCTTTACTTTACGATAAGTCAGTTTTAACTGAAAAGTTAGTCTTATTTGAGGGTGAGTCAGACGTGTCTGAAGGGTTAGCCTTAATTAACGAGTTAACCTTATAACTGATGTTTTAGCCTTAATTGAAGAGTTTGCCTTATCACTGGGGACTTAGCCTCAGCTGAAGAGTTAGCTTTCTTACTGAAAACTTAACCTCAAGTGAAGACTTAGTGTTAACTTAGACTTCTTAGAGCAGTTCTGGTGGCTATTGGATCAGATGACCTGCAAATGGGATTTCGACTACGCTTTACAGGTTCTATAATCAGGTGTTCGAGACTCGACGATTTTGGCAAACGAAATTGTTTATACGGCCGACCTATTAATAACGTCGAACAACGAGGAGATCGATCGTGATACGCAAGGATGCCAATTTCCCAATTACGCAGGTATTCTGCGGGCCTGGCCGCCTACGCAGCGAGACTAATGGGGGTTGGTCAGGTGGTGGCGATGACGCGAGCACACCCTGTTCGCCCCCCTTCCTCGTTCTAGCCTCGATGCAATTCGGTCCGTGGAATTCACCAGGGCACGCACT